GAGAAGAGGGGGAGGGGGCGGGAGAGGGGTTGAGGAGAGGAGGAGCAGGGTGCGAAAGAGGGGGAGGGGTCTTGCAACAGACAAGGGCATGGAAGAGGGAGGCAAGGAACACGGGATGGAGAGGGAAAGGGGTTAGAAACTGGGGAATAATGGGTACAGGAAGAAAAATGGGAGCGGAAGGCGGAAACATGGAACGGGAATAAGTAGAAACAACGGCGACGCCAACTCCCTCAAAACAATAACAGTTGATGCTGCCAAGCAACAGCATGCAGGGCAAGAGCACGAGGGTGCACGGGCAGCAGCAGGAAAGAAAAGAACGAACATAGCAGCGCTAGACAACTACTAGCGCGAAGAGGTGCCAGGGGCCTCAGGTGCCATGATTAGCGGATGGCATGGGTTGCGTCTTCATGGGGCGGCACGGCATGCCTTGGCCGCCCAGTCAAAGCGCAAGGATAACCAAACTCGTCCTCGGCCCCATAGGAGAGAGAAAGCTCTGGCTCGGCAACTGACTGACTGACTGACAGACTGACTGACAGACTGACTGACTGACACGCAGATGGCACTGCCACAGCCGCCCAGAGCACTTGTGTGGAATGAGTCGAGAGCAAGGACGATGTGAGGAGAGGGAAGAGGAGAGAAGAGATAGAGGGAACGGGGGTACGACAAGATGCCAGTCGCGCGAGCTGCCTTGGTTCTCGACACTGCCCAGTAACATGCTCGTGTACTGCTTTCAGTGAAGAGCCCAGCATCAAACCTCCCACTCCAACCATATCCCTTCCCATACAACCCTGCAATGCCCCTTCACCCCCTCACTTATCCCCCCATCGCACCCAACGTTTTCCCTCCGAACTCATTTTCCCCCAAAACCTCCGTTTCTCCCCTTCCCATCCCCCTCTCCTCTCACCCTCCCCCTCTCCCCTCCCCCCTCTCCCCTCCCCCTATCCCCGCCCCCTCTCCCCGCCCCCTCTCCCAACCCCCTCCCCAGTCGCACCGGCCGCGGTTCATCTGGGGGTTGTCGCGGCGGTAGACGCGCGCGACGTGGTAGCGCTTGATGTTGCCCACGCTGTGCATCGCCAGGTACCGCGCGAACGGCACCGTCAGATCGTACCGCAGCGACAGGATCTCCCCGCCCTGCGCGCGTAGGGGGAGAGGGGGGTTTGTTGGGGAGGCGGAGGGGGGAGGAGGGAGGAAAGAAGAGAGGAGAAAGGGAAGCGGGGGAGCAAGAGGGCAGGTCAGCGCAAGTCAAGGTGCGTCGACGCACGTCAACGCAGGCAAGCGCGCGTAAGGGCGCATCAACTCGAGGCGTGCGCGCGCGCGGGGTACCTGGTCGGCGAGGTCGTAGATGAGCTTGGAATCTTCGCCGTACTTGCCCATGAGCGTCTCGCGCAGCTCAAACACCGGCGTGTCCAGCGCCACCGCGCCGTGCCGCTTAAACACCGCCGCGATGATCGCGAACGCGCGCTCGCGGATCGCCATCTGGTCCGGCAGGAAGTCGCGCGTGCCCTGCGAGATGGCGCGTGGAGGGAGGGACGGGGGGAAAGGGGTCGCGGGGGGGGAGAGACGAAGGGGAAGGTGGTGCGGAGAGGGGTCGGAAGGGGAGCAGTGGGGGATGTGGAACGGGAAGAGGAGGGCAGAATCAGACAGAGAAAGAGCGAGAGGGGAGGGGAGAGGGATGAAGGAGCGTGAAGAAGGAAAAACTCAGTGCTTCCTCCCACCTTGGCTATCTTAGGCGCGCGCCTCGACTCGTTGCTTTCAATGGCGCCTCGCAGCGCGCTCTCCAGCTGCGCCACCTCGTCGCCGCGCGGGTCCAGCGCCACCGCCACGCGCTCCACCGCGCCCACCACCGCCACCACCCCCGCGCCCGCGCCCGCGCCCGCCGCACTGCCGTCCCCCCCGGCATTGTCTTGCGCTGCGCCCACGATCCCGTCCAAGAAGGCGGCCAGCACGGCGGTTCCGCGCCCCAGAGCGAGCTCTCCGCCTCCGCCTCCCTTCCCCTTCTTGTCCTTCCCGCCCTCCTTCTCCTTCCCCGCCTTCCGCCCATCCGCTGCGCCTTCCACCGCCTTCGCGTCTTCCTTCTTCGGCGCTTTCCCTCCCCCCGTGCGCGCTGCCAGCGCCGCCTCTCTCGCGCGCAGCAGCCGCAGAGCCGCCACGGCTTCCAGCGCCAGCACCATCCGCAGCGCCTCCACTGTCGCCAGCGCTGCGCGCGCCGCCATCAGCGCGGGGACGCCGTCATCCCGCGCCCCGCGCTCTCTCCCGCATCCAGCCGCCCCACCCGCCGCGCCCGCTGCCCCTTCCTCTTCCGCACCAAGCGGGTCAGCCGCCGCGACCGCCTGCGCCAAGTCACCCGATGTCACCTTGGCGGCATCGACCGTCTCCTGAGCCGTCACTAACGCATATGCCACCTCACCCGCCGCGCCTCCCGCGTGCTCTGGCGCGGTAGTGGCTGCTCCACCGTCAGCAGCGCGCACGGCCGAGTCGGCAGGTGCCGCATCTGGAGCCGCTGCTGCTGGCGGCGGCTGCAACGACGACAGCGCCGCGACCATTGCGGAGATCCGACGGACGCTGCAGGCGCCGAGCGGACAGAGCGCGCGGAGAAGCGACGCGACGTGGCCGGCCACCAGCACCGACGGCACATGCAGACGCATACCAGCCGCCGCGCCGCTCTTGCCCTTTCCCCCACCCTCAGCGCCGCCAGCTGCGCCGCTCTCGCCGCCGCAGCTAAGCTCGACGCGCACGGCGCTCGCGGCGGTCTTGACCGCCTCCCTGAGCGGCCCGTGGCACTGCGGAATGCCGCGCACGGCGAGCAAATTGGCTGCGTCCTTGCGCGGATTGACGCACTTGGACCCCGCCAACAGCGCGCGCATGTCACCCGCCACTTCCGCCTGCGCCTTGTGCGCGCCCTCCGCCGTCTCCGCGTCAAGCATTTCCGCCACGTTGGCGCGGAGCGCCTCACAGGAGAAAGCAGCGACAGCGTCTGCTACAGCCACCAGCGACGACGCGGCGTGCACCGCTACAGCCGCCACGCCCACCGACGCCGCCGTGCTTGTCTGAAAGGCGGCCGCCTCGTGCTCGTATAAGGACGGGGAAGTAAGCCCCTTGGATGCTTCCGCGGCTTTACCGCTCGCCGCAGGTACGACGGCTGATTTTAGCGCGTCGTCAAGAGACGATAAGGACGCCGTGCCGTGCTCGTTCCACGTGGCGGCCGATCCTTGGCCGAGCAAGGCGTCTTGCACGGCCTGCACAACAGGCGCGTCTGTTTTGGACGCGGGAAGCGCAAGATCAACGCCCGAGTTGAGCAGATCCGCGAGGAACTGCGGCACGGATGGCCGCAACGACGCCGCAATCCCAGCCGTGCCGAGCAGCTGCAGCGCCTGAACGGCGAGCGCTGCGCGCATCTGCTCGCGTCGCAGTAACTCCGGGTGCGACGCGGCTGAGTCGGCGGACGGTACAGCAGGGGCTGAGGGTGTGGCTTGCTTTGCGGCTTTAGGTAGCGGGTCCGATGCCCGTTGAAGCTTGTCTGTAGCGGCGGCGTCAAGCTCGACGTGCGAGTCGCGTGCCGCAATGTCGAAGACATCCTTGGCCACTAGCGTGGCGCCTCTTCCGCCGAGAATCACGCGACGGTGGGAAGCCATGATGTGCCCACCAGTTGTGGCTGCAAAACCAGAACAAGATTCTACACGAGTTGCTCGTTCTTTCTGTGAGACTGTTGTGGAGTGGAGGTTGAGGGTTTCGCCAGGGGAGAAGGGAGTTGAAGAGATTGTATCGTTATTGCGGTCCCCGTTACACAGGGTGTTGGCTGCCGTTCACAGAGATTGTGTTATGTCCGATTTCGATACCCAAAGCTGACGGCGTGTTACAACTGCCGGTGCACAGCGTCGGCTCGGGAGTCTGGAAGGCTCTAGGCAGGCGGGAGGCCAAACACGGGCAGCGATTCGAGAAAGAAAAGTTTCAAAATAGTAATTCAGAAAGTTATTTAGTAAGGTTATGTTACGACAGACAATTTGCCTGCGCGTTTTCTGTAAACATTTTATGGCCTCTTGCGTTCCTGGAGCCTTCCTAAACCTGTGCCACGAGCCGAGCCGACGCAGTGCACCGCGAATTGCAACACGCCGTAACCCTTCTTGCCGACCGTTGGATGTAGTTTCTTTCCCGCCTGCGTCGCCGAGGTTCTCTTGCCCGAGAGACAAGCATAGGGTAGGTCCAGCATGTTCCTTTTCAGTTCAACCGTGGTGGCACAAGACGATTCCAGACGGTGCACAGCGGTTTTCAAGCTTCACCGTTTTGCACCCTGACACAACAAGAGTTACCGCACAGAACGAACGAAGGACGGACCCGCTGAACCCGCCCTAATTTCCGGCCCTCGATTTCTCCACCTCGGGTTTGGAATGCAATCTCGCAGATTGTACACATGATGCCCGACCAGTGCACGCGAATTTGCCATCACCGGATGGACACGCTGCCCCCGAACTCGAAACCCCTGCTTGCTGCACCCCATGTACAGGCACCTGGATGGCCTTCTACAGTGCACCCGGCTCGGTCTCTCCCCCACGTGCAGACCACAACAAGCAGTGCCGACCCATGTTTCCCCTTGTTTCTAGGCCAGGCGCGTGCCTGACGAAACGAATGGACGAAATGACAATCGTTTCGTAAGTGCATTCGCCCACCTGCCCCGCCATCGAGGCGAGTATCATGGTGCGTGTAACAGACATCTGGGCTGGTGCATGCTGCGATGTGTACTCCGCACTTTTGGGGTACAAGCCCATTAACAACCAGGCGTTGTTCGACCACCCTACGTCAGATTTGCACTATGGTGGTAACCCATCCACATGTCCGACATTGTTAGCAACGAGCATGCAACGAACACCCACCACACAAATTCAACCCAGTCAATCCGAACAGGCCCCAGCAACGATCATCCTCGTCCGCCAAATGAAGATAAAAAACGATTAGCAAATTCACTGAAGCATCGCCTTCACCTTATCCCCCACAGCACGCCTACCATGCCGCGACTTCATCGCCGTGAGCAGCTTCCGCTGCACATCAAGCGCGCATTATGCGCGCATCACGTCGAGCACCCCCTTCTGCGTCACGTAGACTTGGCCCGCTGGGTTTACGCCCAGTATGGCCTGCGGCCTGACCGCTCCACGGTCGGACGCATTTTGAAGAATGGCGACCGTTGGGCAATCACCGACCCCGCCGCCTCCAATCAAGTGCGCCGTCGTGGTGGCGCATATCCCGAGCTTGAGCAGGCGATGGCTCGCTGGATCGCTAACGCTGGCCCCGCAGGCGTACCACTCACTCTGCAAACGATCCGCGACCACGTGGCGATTATGGCGCGCAACATGGGCATTCCGCCCGTGTTTCGATGCTCCATTGGCTGGGTGCGCCGTGCGTTGCGGCGCCAGGGAGTGCGGTGCCGTGCCGCCACCGGCGAGGCGGCGAGCGCCGACATGGCTGCTGTGCGTGAAGCGCGTGAGAAGGTGCCGGCGCTTCTTACTCACCTCGGCTACCAGCCGCGCGACACCTTCAATCTTGACGAGACAGCTCTGTGGCTCTCTGTGCTGCCCCGAAAAACATACAGCAACGCCCGCATTCCGGGGCGCAAGGTCGCGAAGGAGCGGCTGACCGTCGCGTTTCTCGTCAACGCCGACGGCAGCCATGTTTTCCGGCCGCTCGTCATCAGCAAGGCGCGCCGTCCTCATGACTTCCGGCCGGACTACGACCCCGAAGCCGTCTGCTACTGGCGGCATAACGCCAAGGGCTGGATGACCAGTGCGGTAAGTGTGCACCCGGCCGTGTAATTCTATTTGTGCATGTGGTCTTATGTTACTTATGTTAATTTATAGTTTTCTGTGCACCCCCCCCCACCCTCCATCCCAATCCCCCCCAACAGTTGTTCACCAACTTCATATCGCAGCTCAATGCCGCGATGTATGCCGAAGGGAGGGAAATCGCGGTACTGCTCGACAATGCCAGCTCCCATATTCTGCGGGACGAGTGCGCGTGGAGCGAAATCGTCTGCGGCATGCGGACCACCCGCCTCAGCAACGTGCGCCTCATCTTCCTGCCGCCGAACACAACCGCCTTCACGCAGCCGCTCGACCAGGGGATAATCGCGACCGCGAAGGCCCGCTATCGCCAGCACTGGCTGCGTGCCTTCACGGCGCTGTGGAACGACGACGGCGCAACAAGCGCCGTCGCCCGCTATCGCCCCAATCTGCGCGATGTGCTGGGGTGGCTCTCAGACGCCTGGATGAGTGTCGGTGCGCGCACCATCCAGAGGTGCTTTTGGCGCACGGGCTGCATGCCTCTGTCGTGGTCCCTGGAGCTCACCCATGTGTATGATGATGAGCCGACCCCCCTGGCGTACCCCGACATTGAGCTCGACGACGACATCGACGACGTCGGCGAGCTCATTGGCGGACTCGGCCTCGGCACCGGCGCAATGACCGCCGCCGAGTACGTCGCCATCGACGAGGGCGAGCCGACGTGCGCGGAGGCGGTGTGGAAAATAGAGCGAGAATGAATGAACTATGAGTGAAGTGAGTACAAATAGAAAAACCCTCATTGGGTTGTACCCCCTATGGTATACCCCACTGTAGCCTACACAACAGCATAAGCTACATATATGTTCTGACACACCCCCATAGGCAAAGTGGGGGAGAACAAGGGGTCACAAGACCAGTCAAGCAAAGCAAAGCAAAGCTCAGGGTGGATCACAAAGTCACCACACAGTCCGAGCACAAGAGCAAGGCCACAAGGCCAGTTCACATGCAGGAGTACACACATATATATATAAAGCTAGACAAGCAAGAGCAGGTATATATATGTGACAGTACAAGTAAAGTCAAGAGGAGAGCAAGTGAGGCAAGACATGCACAAGACCCAGCTGGGTGCAGAAGCGCTGATGGTCACAAGGCGCGAGTGCCTTGGTGAACACATCAGCAGTGTTGGCCTCAGAGGCCACGTACGCAAGCCGCAACTGTCCACGCTGCTGTAGCTCACGGGCAAGGAAGTAGCGAAGAGCAATGTGCTTCGTTCTGTGCTCCAGACGCTGCTCTCGACACAAGGCCAGCATGGCCTTGTTGTCTACGTACAGCACTGGAGGAGAACGAGGCGGCTCTCCAAGGTCAGTCAGCAGGTAGGTGAGCCAGCGAAGCTCCTGTGCAGCCATGGCCCCTGCGTAGATCTCAGCCTCACAACTCGAGTTGAGAACCGAAGACGAGCGAGTAGCCCGCCACGAGACAGAGCCGGAGCCATGGCTGAAGGTGTAACCCTGTGACGACCGCTGCGTAGCCTGGTCGTCAGCCCAAGAAGCGTCCGCGTGACCTGTAAGTACCACTGGACTCCGCCCTCCAAGCACTAGCCCCATGCCCGACGTACTGCACAGGTAGCGCAATACCCTCTTCGCTGCGGCCATGTGCTCTGGTCGGTGTCTCCCAGGAGCAACATAGCGTGCAAGAATGCTAAGAGGGTATGCAAGGTCAGGTCGTGTGCAGGTCATCAGGTACATGAGGCAGCCAACAAGCTCTGGGTACGGGCCACTCGACTCTACGGACTCATCCGAAGGCAGAGCTGAGAGCGAGTGGCGAGTAGACAGAGGAGTGGCCTGAGGCGAGGAGTACGTGAAACCGAAGCGCTGAAGGACCTGCTGCACCATGTGTGACTGAGTCAAGGTAATGGTGCGGCGTGCTCTGTCCCGCGTGATCTGCAAGCCAAGGTAGCTGCGCAGTTCACCCAGGTCAGTGCACGTGTGTCTCTTCTGCAGCTCGGACTTCACGTAGGCGAGTCCAGCAGTGTCCGCTGTGGCCAAGACCAAGTCGTCGACGTACACGAGGATGTAGAACGGCGGCAGAGAAGTGTCGGTGCGCAGAAACAACGACGGGTCAGCAGTAGAGGGAGCAAACCCAAGAGCCGCAAGCGTAGTCCTCAGTGTGTCGTGCCACTCACGCGGTGCCTGGCGGAGACCGTAGACTGGCCGTCGGAGGCTCCACTGGGTGCCAGGAGAGAAAGTCCCAGTGAAGCCAGGTGGACGGTGCAGCCAGATCTCCTCGTGCAGGCTACCCTGCAAGAAAGCAGTGCTGAAGTCAAGAGAGTGGAGCTCGTAGTCGCGCTGAGCGGCTATGTGCACCAGCACCCGAAGAGTGGTCATCTTCGGGGTGGGAGAGAAGGTCTGAAAGTAGTCAACTCCCTGCCGCTGACTGAAGCCACGAGCCACGTACCGCGCCTTGAAGACAGGTGGAGAGCCCGGCGATCGCTTCACCCTGAAGATCCACATCCCACTGACGATGTTCGCCCCAGGAGGGGGAACCGCGTCAACGTAGGTGCCTGTGGACTTCCAGGAAGCCATCTCTGCATCCATAGCTGCCTGCCACTGAGAGGAGTAGGGACCCTCTACGGCCTCCGCGTAAGAGTGCGGAGTCGGGATGTCTAGTGCATCTGGGTCTCCCTCAGGGGCAAGCAGTATAGACGCGAGATGAGGTGAAGCAGCAGCCAAACACTGAAACTCCTCCTGCCTGTCCTCAAGGACGTCCGTGCCAAGAGCACACTCACCCCCGACGGACGGAGGACAGACAGACGCACACTCAGCAACAAGACTAGCAGCGTAGTCCAGACGACAGCGAGCAGCAAAGTCGACGAGCTCAGCAACAAGAGCAGACGCAGCAGTGGACTCAAAGGAGGGGTCAGTGACGGCAGTAGCAAGGAGACGCATGACAGTAGGACGGAGGGAGTCCGACGCCGGGTCGGCAAGTGCAGGAAGAGAGGACTCAGGAGGAGAAGGCAGAGGGGCACGCAGAGGAGCAATGGACGGACGCAGAGACATCCGGTGCGTGCCAGGGACAGGAGGAGGACGCGGACGCAAACCACGACCACTAGCGCGAGCAGTACGGACAGGCGACGCGGGACGAGACGCAGGGTCACGACGCTCAGTAAGACCTCCAGTAGGACCAGTGTAAGGAGAGGGAGCAGGAAGTGGGGAGGCGGGCTCTAACTGTGACTGTGACTGGACACGCGGTGGACACTCTACAGGAGGAGAAAGACCAAGAACCTGCTGCAAGAGCGGAACGAAGTACGGCCGAGGCCGCGTGGCGGCACCAGACACAGCAGGGACAGCACCAGCACCCTCAGCACCTCCGGCAGCACCAGCGCCAACAGCACCTCCAGCGGCAGGACCTCCAGCAGCACCCGCAGCAAGACCACCACCAGGACGGACAGTAGTAGTCTCAGAACCAACACCCTCAGCAGCTCCAGCAGTACGCCTCCAGCGGCGAGCAAACCACTCACGCAGCTCCTGTGGAGAGAGTGGCTCCCGCCGAGACGAAACACCCGGAGAACCTCCAGGCCCAGCACCGCCAGACGCCACAAGGGGAGGTCCAGTGGCCGCAGGCTCCACACCTCCAGGCTCAGCAGCTCCAGACGCAGCACCCCCAGGCTCAGCACCCCCAGGCTCAGCACCCACGCGCGCAGCACCCCCAGAGTCAGCACCCCCATGCTCAGCACCCCCAGGCTCAGCACCCCCAGAGTCAGCACCCCCAGGCTCAGCAACCCCACGCTCAGCACCCCCTGCAGTACCTGAGCCACGAGCAACCTCGACCGGCTCGACTGCATCTACCTGGGACACACCTGAAGGGGCAGGACCCTGAGGGGGAAGGGGGTCTACCGCGGGGGGACCTGGCACAAGGAAGTGCGGTGGCGGGGGGAGGGAAGGAGTGCGGTAGGGGAAGAGGCGGTAGAAGGGGACGGACTCGTCGAACTCGACATCCTGGGAGGACAGAACACGACGAGAGGAGGGGTGGTAGAACTGCCACCCTGGGGCGTCAGGGGGGAAGCCTAGGAAGACACAGGGAGCAGCACGAGGGGACAGCTTGTCCGCAGACAAGTCGCGGACAAACGTCCGAGATCCCCAGACACGGAACGCAGACGCATCGCCGACCTTCCCCGTCCAAAGCAGAGCTGGGGAGGTCTCCGGCCGGGAGACCCTGGGGTGAAGGTTGAGCTGATGCGCCGCGTACCGAACCGCAAACGGCCACAGAAAATGGGGGGCAGCCGCATGCATCATGGACGTACGAGCGACGTCCATGACCATGCCAATGTGGCGCTCAGCAATCCCATTTTGCTGTGGAGAGTCCGGAAGCGTGAAAGTCTGGCGGATGCCTCGTGCACGACAGTAGGCTCGCAGAAGGCCAGAGGAGAACTCTCCGCCTCGGTCAGAGTGCAGACACAGAACAGGAAAGTCCGAGCCGAAGCTCCTCCTGAGCTGGAGACGAGCTGCGCGGATCCAGTCGATCAACACCTCAGTGACATCACCCTTGCTGCGCAAGGGGAAGACTGTGGTGTAACGCGAGTAGTCGTCAACCACCAGCAGGAAGTAGCGCTCGTGACCCTGTCCACGGACGCGGGCCGGGCCCCACACGTCCATGTGAAGCGTCTGCAGAGGAGCCTCTGTCTGGGGAAACTGGGAGGAGTGAGGGGCAGCACGGAGCCGCCCCTCGACACAAGGGACACAGGAAGGTCCTGGCCCTGAAGGAAGGGGAGGGAGAGACCGGGGGAGACCAGAGACAAGGACACGGGAAGCCATGCCCCGAAGACGAGGCAAGGAGGGGTGGCCAAGACGGTGGTGCCACAAGAGAGTCTCGTGAGACAGGAGGTGACACGAGCAGGGGGCAGACTCAGGACCAGACCTGGACGCAGCAGCAAACACCTGACCCGACGCAGCTACCTGGCCAGACGCAGGGACTGGAGGAGACTCAGTGGTCAGGGTGTAGAGACTCGACCCGGGCCGACGCGAAAAAGTGGCTAGGTGTCGGCCTGTGCGGGCGCCCGAGCAGTGAGTCCCCCGCTGACTCGCAGGAGTAAACTGGTGAACCCCCGCATCCTGCAGGTCAGCACCACTCACCAAGTTCGTCGAGAACGAGGGGAGGTACAGACCCGACAGGGTGCCCGAGGGGGCAGCCGGACACGGGAGGACAGTAGAGAAGTGAGAGAGGACAGGACCCCCAGAGGGGTCAGCCAGGGAGACTGCAACCGGCCGACTAAGCGGCGTGAGTGTGGTGCGGTCTCGAAAGAAGGAGCGAGAAGCCCCTGAGTCAAGTGTGAAGGTGAGGGAGGCCGAAGCCGACGCAGTACCTGAGAGCGCAGCCTCACCAGTACCTGAGAGTGCAGACGCACCGGCACCTAGAGCAGTAGCCTCACAAGCACCCAGGGCAGCAGTACCAATGCCCGGGTCGGGCGGGAAACACCGGTAACAGTCACCCTCATCACTTATAGTCACAGCATACATGGCAGCAAGGATAACATCAAAGTCAAGATCAAAGATCGCTACGCCAGCCCTAGACAGCTCTCCCCAGCGGGGAATCTCACTGGCCTCGGGGAACTGCTGACGCCAAGCGTCCGTCAGGCGGCCAAAGCAGTGCTGGGTGGAGTGGGCACCCCCACACTGCTCACCCGCGCGGTCGCCGGAACGAAGAACGTAGGTGCACGGGCCAAGACCCCCACCACGATGACGCTGCGTGTACCACTCACGGA